CTTGGTCCTGGATGATCACGCCTGTAGCAGCCTTCAAAGGAGCAGATTTCTTCTGTATTGGACCTAAAGCCTGCTTGATGTTATCTGTGTCCGTTGCTATCTGTAATCGGAGAGTGGAGCTGATGCCAATAATCGTTAGAACATCTCCTGGCATTCTGTTGGACTTTGCTATGAGCAACTCAAAGAACCTGAAAGGTGTACTCAGCAGGACAGGCTTTATATGTTGCTAGAGCTGTCCTCTTTTCCTTGATGGCTGGCATCAACTCCTCTGAATGGACTTTGAACCAGTCTGCTGTCTTTTTGGTCTTCTTGCCAAATGTGGATGAGGCGGTGTTATAAACAGCATTATTAAAATGTTCCCATCATTTAGGTGCATTTGCATCAGTTTCCTCAAGCACTTAGTCAAATTCCTCCACTTTTCTCTGATCGCAAGTCTTGCTGATGTCAATATGTGGTCTTCCTTCCTTTTTCATGTGATACAATCTCTTTATTTGCAGTTTTACTCTGCTACACACCAGGGAGTGATCAGTATCTCAATCAGCACCCTGATAACTGTGTATGATCATAAAACTAGGAAGGCTAAAGAGTATAGTGAGGATCAAATCGAGCTGATGCCAGTGCTTCGATCTTTGATGTCTACAAGAGACTTTGTGTTGAAGCTTCGTATTAAAGAATGTGTTGCTAACACAAAGGCCATAATAACAGCAAAACTCCAGCAAGCATTGGTCATTTTCGTTCATCTTCCCAATGCCAAAACAGCTTGGACAAGTGGGCCAAGAATTGTGATCAGCACCAACTCTAGCATTAAAGTCTCTGAAAATAAACAGCAGCTCTCTCTCGGGGATTTTTTTGATAGTAGCTGCCAGATTGTCATAGAATTTGTCTTTGACTTCTGTTGTAGATGACAGTGTTGGTGTATATGCACTAATGAGGGTGACCAATTCTGTTGATGAGTGGAGCTGCAGAGACAGGATTCTTTCACTCCCCATAGTAACTGGAACAATGGATCTCAGCAGAATATGTCTAACCACAAAGCCATTCAATGGTTTTTCCTGCCAGAAGAAGGAGAAGTTTTTTTCTTTGCCAGAGTCTGAGCCTGGCAATCTCATCTCTTGCAGGGCAACAATGTCCATCTTAAGCCTACTCAGTTCCATGTCAATAACAGCTGTCGTGCGTGCATTGTCTTTTTCCTGCAGGTAATCGGAAAAGTCAGGGGTCATTGTATTCATGAAGGCTTTCACGGCTAGGATCTAATGGTTGTTGTGGGTTTTTCGGGCTCTCAGGCCGTGTTCTGAAGGTTGTTCTTCCTAACGTTTCACCAGCCGCTGTGGCCGGCATCTTCAGAGTGATGTCCTCTGAAGATGCCGGCCACAGCGGCTGGTGAAACGTTAGGAAGAACAACCTTCAGAACACAGCCAGAGAGCCCCAAAAACCCACAACAACCAGGGGTCATTGTCTGAACATTCCAGGTGCCCAACAGTAACACTATAGAAAGAAGAACGCTATACCTTAGTAATTTACAATTGCAATGTATTTATGCTTTAGTTACTGGGAAAGAAAACCAATTACAATTATTGGAAACTAATTACTTTCTAGCTGGGACTGTTTAGTATCTCACACTACTCCAACTCTAAGCACACAAAAAAATGTTTGACGTCCTGGGAAATGACTTTTTATTGAGTACGTGTAAATGATTTTCTCTATAGAGTAACAGCATTTATCAGTCTGATTTTTTGTACCAATTTTCCTACATACATTTGACTCTAAGCAACCATGAACAAGGTCAGCGGCCTTGGGAATTTAGTTTAGATCATTTTGTTTCCCAACAGTATCAGACTTAGATATTACAGTCAAGCACAAACAGTCCCAGAAGCTTTGAGGAAACATCTGGTGATATGACCTGTTTCAACAATCTGAGAGCAAGATTTGTTGTACGAAAATGCATTTATTCAATTTCAGTACGACCATGTTGCACACACATACACACAAAACAAAACAAAACAAAACAAAACACCTCCACCCAAATCGTCATGTTTCTCCCTTTTAAAAAAATGTACAGTATTCCCAGGGATCTTAGGTGTTCTTATTTGCTCTTTTGACCTCGGTTTTGTGCATGGGGGTGGACAGAAATGGAATACATTATTTTTTGGACTTTGACTCTGAGCCATGTTGACTGTAGAATTATGAGTATTTTGTTTAAAAAAATTTACTTTTCCCAGCTGTGGGGGAGGGAAGGAGCGCAGGCTGCTCTACACTCTCTCAGAGTGAACTGCAGCTAGTGTAAAATTTCTGGGCATATGCAGATAACTTGGACATCCTCATCTCATCATCTGCCTGATTTAGCCAGGTTTTATTAATGTGGGTCAG